TTTTTTTACTGCAATATTTATCTTATAGGTAATTTATAGGTACAAAATGTCTCTGAGGTGAATTATTAGTGTAACACAAAAATAAATTCATGGGTGTTCCTTTAAAAATCTTTTGGGAATAACAAAATAAAAAAATTTGTTTGAAAAAATGATTAAATTTTAAATATAATTTGGGACAAAAAAAAAGCTTAAAATATTCCAGAGAAATTTGTTATGACGTATAACTCCCATTATTGAAATTGATTTGAAAATTATATGTAAATATTAATTTAAATTTACTCTTCATTTGCCACATTTTTCATTTTTCAAAAAAAAATATAATCGCAGTTCAAAATTATCTTAATTTTTTACTATTTTCTAATGAGTTATAAAATAATAGTAATTTAAGTTTTTTGTATGATCTTGAATTTAGCCTAAAAGAAATTTCTCATTAATTTGAATTTTGTATCATTGAGTTGAGTCAAATAACTGAGTTATTATATCGAATTTGTAAGAAAATTAAGAGTGGAATTAGTTTCACTTTCATTTCTAACAAAAAAACATATTAGATTACATTAACTTTTAAAAATTTCTTGAAATTATAAAATAATCATAATAAACTCATTTACTAATTCAGACATATTTTTTTTTTTTCATTTTAGAATCACGTACATTTGGCCATATAAGACGTATGAAAAATGCTCTAATTCCAATTATGTTTAAATTTGGTGTAATTTCAACTTTAATTGCTGTATTAGTATTTTTGGCGTTAAAAACAATATTATTATTAAAAGCACTTTTAGTTTTAAATGCTGGTGCTATTTTAGCAAAATTAATAGCATTAAAAACATCATCTGGACATGATCATCATCATTATGTAACACAACCAGTTTGGCAGCCACCACATTCACCACTATCACAACATGGACATTTTAATACATTTGGTAATTTATATAACAGTGGAATATCATCACCATGGGCGACAACATTAGGGCAAGGAAAAGAGATTCATGTTCATATTCATAATGAAGCATCAGATACAAAATCACATTATCAAAATATAAATTCTGGTAGAGCTGGTTGGGAAAATGAACCATATATTGGTTATTCAAATGTTCAAAAACAATATATTGTAAATCCAACAGAACAAGAATTTCAACAACAACAACAGCAGCAGCAACAACAACTAGTCAAAATTCATAGAGATGATCAATTAAATTATATTAATAGTAGAAGATATGGAAAAGATTTAAAAGAATAATAGCCACAATCAGACTTAACATATTACTTATACAAAAATGTAGTAGCAAAAAACCAAAATAATTAAATTTTAGTCTTTATTGTAGTACAGAAGGTTTAATTTCAAATGTTTGTATAATTTAGTAGAAATTTAATAATTTGTATAACAGTATGTAACATAGTTCTTAAAATTAAGGTAATATTTATTTTAACAATATTAATTAGTTTTCTAAAATTGAATTAAATTATTTTGTAAATATTTGTAATTCGCTAGATTTAAGATAGGCTTGAATTTAATTTTTTAATTTTTAATTTAATAAAATTTTTAATATTTATTCTTGTATAAATTTCTGGTATTTTGAATATCTACAGAGAATTTGTTTTAGAATTCTAATTAGAATTTTAAGAACTCGTAATTTTGCAATTGTTATCCATAAAAATCATATAAATTGAAATTTAATTCAGTCAAATTTTACAAAACCAAAACAAATGAAAGTAAATTTTCCGCCGCAATAACCATATACTAAGTGAAAATGTAACCAAAACTAAATAAATGTACTTAGTTCTGACAATATAAAATTTTAGAATCTGTCTCTTTAAATAAAATTGAAATTAGTTTAATTGCTTATTTAAATATTTTCCCCGACAATATATCTAATTTAATAAATGCTATCGTATTACATTCAATTTCAAAATTTGGTTCCTTTAACAAATACTTGCAATATGCGCAGACTAAAATTTAAAATGCTAGCGTAAAAAATTCATATCTGACTTTTAATCAAATTTCTTATATACCAACATTAAAATTTTATTTAGGGCAAAAAGAAGACAAAACAGAAAATTGCTTTAAATTTTCTAATTCTATAATATTTACCAATTAAATTAGAATTATTTTTTAGTTATAGACACCAAAATATTATACTTAAACTTTTCAATTTCAATTTCATCAAAATTATGCTAAAATCAAAATATTTAACATAATTTATTCAAAATAATGTCAAAAAAGTATCAAATACGAGCAATTATCGTAAAACAACTTGACAAATTTATAAATTAGACACTAACACGTATGCGTGCATTTGTATATACCTATAATTTAATTATTTAATACCTCACCTCAAAATATTTGTTTTGAAAATTATTAAGATATTAAAAAACAAAAAACATAACATTATTATTTTCCATTTAATTTAAAACTATAATAAGAGTCAAAAAATATGTCAGATTAAAAATTGAGAAAGAAGGTATCATAATAACACAAGAGAAGAGAAAAGAATAAATGGGTTTTGTTGTTGTCTGAATTTGAATAACACACACAGTATAAGACATAGTTTACTTTTATAACACAATAATTTGCTTTCATTCTTCGATTATCTCAAAAAAAAAAAAAACAAACATTTCTCTAAATGCCTCCTTACAAAATCAAATTGAGAAAAATAACAGAGCACACGACAGCTTTAATTTTAACATTAAGGTGAAAAATTTTACATGTCTGTAATTACCGATTATTTCGCATTATCATTTTTAATAGCATAAAATTAAGATATTGAAAATGAAAGTTGAAGTGAATATTTGGATATTTTTTTTGCAATTACATAGGCGGAACTCAAAATTTTTCTGCGGAATTACTGCTTTCATAAACGGTACCGAATTTGAATACAGAGCCTTTAAAGCGCCATAGTACAAGGGTTTTTCTTATATTAGGCGAATTCGGACACAAACCTACAAAATATTTGGTTTAAATCTAATTTTAAAGTGCATTCATATTAAATCATACATTTTTACAAGTAAACAGTTAAAGATTTCCTATACTCATTTATACGCGTATGAAAACAATAGAGTCTATTTAACTCATTAAAAACAATGTCGCATTTGTACTCAATAAATTTCAGTACCCGGATCTGTACTATAAACTTTAGTGTACCATACCCAATTCTTTCATGTACGGTTTATACCTACCGTTAATTTCTTTACAATAGTATACTATAGTAGTATACCACTTAGCTGACTTAGTCAAACATTCCGAATGGCTACTCTGTCACTTTTTAGTTTATTATTTATACAAAAAACGCTTTTTCAAAAATTTTCCCAAAATATTTTTGGATTATCTTCAAAATTGAGTTCATAAATTTTTAAGTTAATCCACCACAGGTATAACACATTCGTAATATGTATACAATTATTTAATGTATAATTACCATTTTACAGGTACAAAAATTTTTTATTTTGCAAAATTGAATTTTAATTTACTCAAATTTTCTTATTATTAAAGAAAATTTAAAATTAATTTATTTGCTTTCATCAGTTACATGATCATTAAAATTAAATTTTTCAATAAACATTTTTATTTTTCGGATATACACTGAGGAAGAAATTATAGATAATCTGTTTCAACAAACAACAAAAAGCGAAAAATTGGTAGGTAGATACATAAAAGTGATGTGTGAAAACGCCATCGAATTAAGTAATCTTTGCAAAATTGTAGTTTAAAAGCTTCATACTGTGTTACCCGCAAGATGTTACTCATTCGCTCTAGGTGACGAATTGAAAGTGAAAATAATTATTTTAGTTGTAATTACATTAAAAAATTTTTAAAACAAAAAATAAATTTTTGATTATAATATGCGTAGTAGTAAGAAGAATTGTGTTTTAATAAAGATCTTAATTTAAGGCGGTTTTCTGCTATTAAGGGGATGTGAAGATGTATTGGAAATAGAGATGTAGAAGCGAATAGAATACCGGGATTATTGAGAAAATAAAAATAAAAGCGCTGAATATTGCCTACACTAGAATGACCCAGAACACAGCATACACCTACATAGCACACGTAAAACGGTTTTGTATCGTCTTACTAAATGCGATCAATGCGATTTGACGAAGCGAAAACAAATGATCAAGCGCCGCCCCGCTATTTACAAATAATGTCACGCCGCCACCATCAAACCGTAATGAACCTGAACCTGAAACCGTAAGCAAATAGCCAAGGTCAGTTGTTTTTATAAAACACCCTTCCAAAAACGTCCTCAAAGCATTCATATAAATGTAAGTGCCTCCATTCTTCTATGATGGAAACCAAGATGCAATATATTTCATCAGACAATCTGATGTCGGACAGTCATCCACAGATATTTATTAAAGAGCCAATGCGCGGTGGTGTATTTTGCAAGCGTACACAGTTTTTAATTTTTTCTTTAAAGCGAATACTTTTTTTGCTCTACGTGGAAACGTGATTGATAATATAAAACTTTTTTGCCTAATTTTGTTACATATTTTTTTTTCAGCAAAAAAATATGTAAATTAAAGATATTTGCATATTATATACAAAATATTTAAAATATAAGTGATCACATGCAAATAGAAAAAAATGTATATAAAATTATAAAAAATATAAAAAAATACCTTTATGGCATTTATTTAAAATGGGTTATTATTACAATTCATAAGAGAAAGCAAATTGAATAAAATTGTACTGAAGAGAAAATGAGATATTGACGTGTACTGAATGCAATCATTTTAAATATTTTAATTAAAAAAAATCTACATATATGAGGCAGACCATCGTTCTTTAAACAAAATTTCTGATCAGAGACATAAAAATGATTCATGTTAAAAATTTTTCAAATGTACAAAATATAAAAATTTACGTGGAAAAATTTAAAGCAATGAAAATAAAATTTTCGAATTCAAGAATTTCATTTCTTTTTGGCGATATTGATTAGTTAATTAAGGGGAAGTAAGTACATGTAAATTCCTCATATAATCGCCCTATTTTAAAATTAATGATGATATTTGCCGCTTATGGATTATGGATTGCCGCTTTTGTATTTGATATTATTCTTAAACCAGCTGCCTCTTTAGCTAATACTTCAGTTGTATTAATCTCCGTTTGCGAGAAACAACTCCCAGTACCGAGCGGCAAAATGTTCTAAGCTATACTCAATACAACCAATACAAAAATTTCATATCCAAGTATTCAAAAATTTTTCTTATTATGTAAATACAAATGGCCCGCGCTCACATTTATATCATGCATGTAACTCTTTGTATGCAAGTACTGTTATATGAACCGTTCCTTTTGAATTCCCAATTATAACTAAAATTATTCAAAAAAATTTACATTTAAAAATATTTGTTCATGAATAACTTTTATTTGAAATACTCAAGCTACCGCTTTTAATTTCGAAATTTTATTCCGATTATAATGGTTTGTGTCTAAGAAAGAAATTCAAAATTAAAGCTTTTATTTCGTTAGGAAACAATTTTTTCGTTATTTTTTGAATTTTAATATTAAATTTTTGTGTATACGATGCTTCGTACATTAATAGACAAACAATACAGTTGAACCTGAATAAGAAGAACAAATTCTTGGTTCATTCAAATTTCTTTCTCCACGTACAATTCAACAACGTATAGGTAGGTATACTTGAACTTAAATTGTTCATTTACTTGACAATAATTTTACTAAATTCACATATAAATTTTATATTACATGTTTTTCTTCAAATTTAAATGCTCATCTACAGGCCTTACTTATAGGGTGTTGATTGTACTATTGTAGGATTCAAGCAACTCAAATGGAGGTAGGAGGACACCGCAGCAACTCACAACTAATTATAGTCTTCTACCACCTAACAATATCCCTGATCCAAGTACAAAACTGGAGATGTCCCCAAGAGAATTGGATAGCAGTTCCCAAATACTTAGGAAAGCTTGCCCGAAACAATTGCGACGCCGGACGGCCAGTTTTGAGCAGTCGCAAAGGATATATGTGGTGTGATAATTTCGCAAAACCTACATAAGAAGGAACTCGATTTTGCTCACCTTGAGCGTGATGAAAGCAACACCTTCGCATAAAGGCAAAGACATCTTTTTGTTTCTTTATGCCTACCGTTATATTTAATTTTATGCAATATGTTCACTTAAATTCTGACATATTTTTAGAAATGGGCGCAATATTAAAAATACAATTTCATTTAAATTACTAGTGAAATCGAAAAAATTGTAAAATATAACTGGAATTACAAAAGATTACTATGAACCTTTGTCAAAAACTAGCCGACAACAATTTATTATTTTGATACTGTTATTTTTTCTCAACTACAAACATGGCGTTCTCCCTATTTTCAATTGAAATTTTTTGTTTCATAAAGAGTATTGTAAACTTCGCATACATTGAAATGATGGAAAATGTTAATTTCAAATTAAAAGTTTTTCGTTCAGTATTCTGTCGTTCGTTTCCTTTTCATTTTAAAATTTTTCAAATCGCCATTTTCTTTTTTTTTTAATTTGAACTTTTTAAGAAAATAATGATCTTCAATTATCAAATTGTTAAAAAAATTTCATTTTCTTCATACACACACATAGACAACATTGAAAGTAATAATGAACATCGTATACGATTTGATTATAAGGTTAAGAAAAAAAATGGAAATTTTGACTGTCAAACAAGTTGAACACTTACCGGAGTCTCGTTTGAGTTTGAACATTGTATTCATATCAATGTATTTGTGTGAATACCATTAAAATGTCAAACGCAGTAATGTGACATCAATTTATTTATTTATTTTTGTTTTATTTTTTTGTTTTCAAAATGGAATGTTAATAAAATAAGCGCAGATTTTTAAAAACTGAATGGGCATTAAAATTCTTATATTCAATGAAAAATGCGTTTGATATTGCAAATAATATTGTTGTTAGCGAAAATTTAATGAATTTCGCGATTTTCATAAAGAAAATTCAATAAAAATGAAAAAATAACAACAAAAATTACAATAAAAGAAATAAAATAAAAAATTATGGCCATCTTTACAGTAGCGTTTTCAAGAATGAAAATTGATTATAAAAATTTTTGGAACGCGCATCAATTATTCAAAACAAAAAAAACCAAACAATTTTTTTTTGGTTTTTTCTTATTTCTTATTGCATTTTCTTTCATTTTCCTAAATAACGGTAAAATTTGTGGGAAAATTCATGTCAGTATGCTATGGTGAATTTTTCATATTTTAATATTTTTTTGTCTATTTTCCGTTCCTTCCCTACTTCTAAGTAATCTTGAGTCGCGAAATGTACAAATTTATTCATATATGAGAAAAAAAAATTTTCTCTATCTTTCTTCAGGAATAACTATCGTGAATTTTTTTATTATCCGTAAATGGTTAACCGTATAAATAAATTGCATATACGAGTATGCAAATAAAACATAAAGGTCGCAGTCAAACATTTAAAATCTTAATAAATTTATTAATGTACCTGCATAGTGTACACACAAAGACAAAATATAAAAAGTAAAATTTGTCCATTTGAGTTGTAGGTAGGTAGGTATCTGTTATATGGCTGTTTGTTTTGCATATTATGTGTGTAAAAATGTGGTTGTAGAGTTGATTTAACAAAAAAGGAAATTTATTTGCAACATCCCATTAATACTTAGTGTCAAGTTCAATTACAAATCCTTTTTGTGAGCACAAAACTTGAGCTGATAAATTACTTAGTTGTTGTCTCTTATATTCACAATTTTTCAAAAATTTTCATTTTATTGAAATAATGGTGAATATGTGATTGTGTTAAGTTTTGATTGCAATAAAATATGTGAATAACAAATTTTCATGTTCAAGGGAAATAAAATTTTGTATAAAAATAAAATGAGAGGAAAAGTGATTTCTGTTTTTCACTATTGAATAAATGAGCTTCTCAAGTGCAAATAAATGACGCCATTTTCTACAACAAAAAGGACATAAATTGCAATAAACATAAGTAAAATTAATCAAATACCTCCTACATTTCACATGTATTTTCTCGAATAATGAGTAAGTGTAATTTTAATATAAATTTTAGAAGTGATTAATGAGGTCACCTTGTAAATTGAAAGCACTTTTCCAAAACGTCATTTGCAAGTGCGGTCCTCACAAGTTGCTTGAGTTAACCAGGAGGGTGCGTCTCGAGATTGTGTTGCAGGGCATGCCCCGCACTTGGAAGGGGGCGCAAAATAGATCCTTATACGTGGTCGCGTTGCACTGTTGCCCCCGTTGTACAAATCTACAAGGGTCAAATTTAAATGAATTTCAATACATTTTGAAGTTAGCTTCATGAATTCCAGTTTTTGTTGCTAACGCAAGTGATTGCCATTTTTTGATTTTTTGTTCATTTGTTACTGCATTTACAAAAAATAATTCTTAAAAATGATTTATTTTGATGTAGATTTTGAAGTACTATTTTAATGGAAAGCAGGTTTTTAAAATATCGATGACAACCTTAAAGTACCAGCACCTCAGCTGACAAAAGATGCTTTATTTGCTGTCGTTTAGAAATGAAAATTGATGACATGATCGTCAAATTGATGATGGCCTGCCAAAATACCAAAGTAAAAAAATGTTGTATCCACCTTAGTTTTTTTAAAAAACCGAATTGATGTCGTTTTCAGTTGGATTTCGTGAAAATTTTCTTGGATAGGAAAATTTGGGTGGGAATAATTAAAAATATTGCAACAAATATGAAATGAAAACCTTATTTAAACCGTTAACGTAAAATTATTTTCATTTCAATTTTCAAAAGTGTATCACAAAATCCTAATACTAATTTAAAATAATCCAATATAAGATTATCAATTACCATTTAAGTGCATATAATACAAGATAATAACATACTTGAGTAGACTAAAAACACCGTTGTTCAAATTGGGTTTCGTTTATTATAGAGAAACAAACAAATATGATTTGCACATGATGTTTACCTTATTCATAACCAAGTTTACATTTCGATAATATCTTAATTGGGTGCATACATAAATGTTGGGCGTGAATAAAATGCAAAATAAAAAAAAAAAAAGATTTCCGTTTTCTCGAAATTTTGTTTCATTTCTTTTCTCTTATTGTACTCGTATATGTGTGTGTATATGAATATTTAAATTAAATTATAAAATACATCGGTAAATCGAATTGCTTTGTTTTCATCGTTTTCCAAAAAAAAAAACCAATTATTTTCCATTATATCTTTTTTAGTTTTCAAATAAAATTTTCATATTTAATAATAAAATTGTTTAATGTGATGATTTAGAAGTATAAATGGTTTTGGAATTGAATTAAAATTTAAATTGTAATGTTCAGGAGGTATTATGGAATTGCATTTCCATTTTAATTACCGTAATAGAATAGTATGTTTAATTACATTTAGCAGGAATTAATTGATTTTCCATATACGGCAACGAAGAGATGAGTGGTTCTAGTAAAGCACAATCAGTAGTGAAATCTCACAAAATTATAATAGAGTGATTAAAATTTTGCATGCAACTTTGTTGAAATCGGCAAGATTTTATTAAAAATGTCTGGCCCCGTCTTCCAATAACTCCAATATTCTCACGAATTGAAAATATCATATTATATTATTTATAACTCAATAATTATTTAGCATAATTTTTACAGGTTATCTTACTTAATGTAGTATTTCCAACTATATTTTACAACTGTATTTTTAAACTTTATGCGAAAGTAAACTAAACTCATATATTTTTAAAACTATCTAATTCAGAGATCCATAATTATCAAAACCATAAAAATAGAAAATGAAAATTTTACTTTTCCTTTATAATTTTACAACAAAAATGGCATAAATGCATTTATCTATATAAACTTATGAAAATATTCAATCGGGAAACACTGGGAAATACTTACACATTTAATAAATTTTTATGGCTTTGACACTAGTACTAGTCTAAATTTGAATAAGAATTCAAGTTGAATAAGAATTTGAATGGTCTCATTATTTGGATACTTAATTAGGTTATAATTAATTAGGTCACATGTGGTGGTTGCCCTCATAAATTATGGTAAAAAAGAATGAAAAACAAGCCTCCAGTTGAAAATAAACACATTGGTTGATTTGTCGCGCCCCCCCATTAGCATGAATGTGGCATTATGATACTA